CCATATGAGACTCCCTGACCCTGGAGATGATGAAGAGCTGTGTTTTTGTGCAAAAACTGTTGACCTAAAGCTGGAAGTGAGCATTCTTCACATTGTACCCCCACCCCCACACCCTGTGGAAGAGCATAACCTTCCTGACTGCAGAGCTCCTAAAGGCAGCCTATTTGTTTGCTTAGAAGTTAAATGTGTGCTTGGAATGTCTGTTGTCCCTTCTCCATTTACTCTTCATTCTCCTAAATACTCCGGTCTGCAGATCTTTCTGGACTACTGGTGAGTATAAAGCATTTAACCAGATATTTCTCACAGTTTGGCCTGATTCTCCTTTAAAGGTTGTATAGATAGATATAGACATTATCTGAACAGTCAAAATTTGATATGACAATCTACACTGTGTGTCCAATGGTTTGTAGACACCTGTTCATCCAGTGCTTCTTCCGAAATGAAAGTTTAATAGAGAGATTAATAGAGAGGGCTTGTAATAGGGAGATTCTTGCCTCTTTACTGTACTAACAGCCTCTACTCTTCTGAAAAGGCTTTACACAATATGTTGGAATGTTGCTATGAATGATTTGATTGCATTTAGGCATGAGTGCAGTAGTAAGGTCAGGTACTGACTTTGGATGTTTAGTTCTGGATTAAAACACCACTCCAACATATCCCAAAGGTGTTGGATGAAGCTCCATTACTCCAGACAATGCAATTCCACTGCTCCACAGCTCAGTGCTGTGGGCTTTTTAATCCCTCTAGCTGACACTTGGCATTGAGCATGAGCATGACTTAGACTCATGTAAGGCTGCTCCAGAGCATACCAGTCTGTTGGCAATGCTTTTTTTTATGTACATTTCGCAAGCTGAACATGCACCTTTGATTGCCTGTGTTAGCAATAGGTACACCTAAAAGCAGCTAAGTTCACTAATTATAATTGAAAGGCTCCTGAATATCTATGGGATCATGAGGTGGGGTGATCTTATTACCTTGATTTCTCAGGTCTGTCTGAACAATCCTGACTCAGACTAGAAATGTATGGACCAATTATGGGAATAACAAAATAGCAATTCACAGATACATGATGCATAAGTAAGTCATCGTACATAGATCATGGTTTATGTGTAATTGGTTTCTCACTGCTGTCCACTCATTTTTTTTGAAAGTGAAAATGAGTCATCTTAGGTAAAAGGCCTCACAGAGATGTTCACCACACTACAGCTCTTGATATTTGTTTTCGTTAGTCATAGTGATTGTCATGACGTTCGTCCCAGAGTTGTTTTATTCCCAAAAGCACACAAGCAGCAGAAAAGGAGTTAACTTGTACAGGAAGTTCAAGGAGTCTGAGGGTACATGGGACACATAAATATTTCCCTTTCTCCAACTCTGATCACATTTTCCTTTAAGACATATCACAAAATTGCTGGTTATGAATGTGACTGTGATTCTGAGAATTCCAGATGATTTTGAAGTGGTGCCAATCAACCAGCTCCTACTGCATCAGATCTTATTCCAAAAAGGTCATGCAGTGACATGCCGTGTGACGCTGACAGTAATGCTGCTCACACGGAAGTTGTCTAGGGTTTTTCTTGTTGATTCTAAGTAACTGATAAGTCACCTGGGATTCATAAAACCACAGAGAGGTTCTTAACTAGAGCTCTATTTCATTCTTCCTGACCACTAGAGGCAAAATGATGCACAGTGTGTGAGGAATACCAAACGCATTGTAACAGACTCACTAAGAGTGAAACCGGGGTAGCACCTGATCTTACTGCATGAACTGGGAAAACAGACAGGGTGACCATGTAGATGCTGTGAAACACTTTTTAGCCAGGACATAAATATATTTTGGGTGGAGCAACAAAACACTGATCCTTGCTGGTTGCTACATGGGTTTGTGGGCCCTAAAGATGTTTCAACAGAGGGTGGCCTTCATTCTTGTCACTGAAGCAAATTAGTGATGACTAATTAAGGAAATACACCGATCAGGCATAATATTATGACCACCTCCTTGTTTCTCTGCTCATTGTCCATTTTATCAGCTCCACTTACTATATAGGTGCACTTTGTAGTTCTACAATTACAGACTGTAGTCCATCTGTTTCTCTGCATACTTTGTTAGCCCCTTTTTAGCCTGTTCTACAGTGGTCAGGACTCCCATGGACCCTCACAGAGCAGGTACTATTTGGCTGGTGGATCATTCTCAGCACTACAGTAACACTGACGTGGTGGTGGTGTGTTAGTGTGTATTGCGCTGGTCTGAGTGGATCAGACACATTTTAAACACTGTGTCCACTTACTGTCCACTCTATTAGATGCTCCTACCTTGTCAGTCCACCTTGTAGATGTAAAGTCAGAGACGATAGCTCATCTGCTGCTTCACAGTTTGTGTTGGTCATCCTATAGTCCTTCATCAGTGGTCACAGGACGCTGCCCACAGGACACTGTTGGCTGGATATTTTTGGTTGGTGGACTATTCTCAGTCCAGCAGTGACACTGAGATGTTTAAAAACTCCAGCAGCACTGCTGTGTCTGATCCACTCAGACCAGCGCAACACACACTAACACACCATCACCACATCAGTGTTACTGTAGTGCTGAGAATGATCCACCACCCAAATGGTACCTGCTCTGTGAGGGTCCATGGGGGTCCTTACCACTGAAGAACAGGGTAAAACGGGGCTGACAAAGTATGCAGAGAAACAGATGGACTACAGTCTGTAACTGTAGAACTACAAAGTGCACCTATATAGTAAGTGGAGCTGATAAAATGGACAATGAGCGTAGAAACAAGGAGCATAATGTTATGCCTCATCAGTGTAAGACCTCAGCTGAAATTCTGGATCAGTCGTAGTGTGAGGCGGAGGGGTCTGAAATGTGATAACTATGTGTATATGAGTTGGTGATCGGACTCTCTAACATGTTCAAATGGCTCCTTATCCAAACAGTTGCCTCACCACCAAGGGTAGAGACTTCAGGGTGATCCTACAGGTCTCAAAGAGAAAGGAGAAGATCAATCTGATTTGATGGTGGTTATACACCAGAAAAGCTAAGAGTTTGCCACAGTTTTTGGCAAAGTATACCACTGCATGAAAGAGTTGCCAGGGTACCCACCCCTAGTAGTTTATAGCAAAGAGCACAGTCCATGAGGCAAATGAGAAAGCGGACACCGCAGTGTAAGTCACCAGAGTGAAGGGACTCATCTGTGGATACTACTAGTCTCTCCAGGCTACAAGAACTTTGTTCCAGGTCATAATGGAACACTATGGGTACTAGCATTCATGCTATTGTGTCCGGCTGTGCATACAAAATGGAGGCCTTGTTCCTTCACGTAAACTTGGTAGGCTGGAATAGCAAACTCAGAGACCATTGAAGTCTAGCAGAAAAATGGTTTGAGGCTTGAACGTAGCATGCTAAACAGGTCAGGTAATTATGGTTGCGTTGTACACTTACACTTGTAGGTGTGTGGATGCTTCGGATTGGTCTAACTCACCTACAGGCAGTTCACAGGCTCCATGTATTCAAGTAATTTCCCCACATAAAACTTGAAGAATACACATTAAAGGCAACTCTTGCAATCTAGAAATGACCCATTTTTAAATTCTAATATCCATATAAAAACAATAGATCTTTCAGTCCTACTATAGGGTGGTGGGCCCTGGTTGTTTAAGGGGTTAATAGTGCCTATAATGTAGCCATAACAGAAGGCAAATCAGAGGTAGCATCATCTGAATACATGGAGCTATGCAGCAAAATACAGATCAGAGGCAGCCAGCTTACACAAAACTCATATAAAAAGCCATCTTGCTGAGTTAGTATTCTTGGAGATCTTTCATCAACTATATTATTCACAGGAGAGTTGGAGTACAGTTCAATTTAGTGCACATTCGATAATAAATTATCCACCTTACATGCCAAGAAGGAGGAGGAGGACTTCTTAGCCTGCTTAGTAGGCTCTATTCAAGCATGAGTTGTTATGGCATGCCATAAGTGATTTCTACAAAGGCAGAAAGGTCATATTTAGGTTCTAAAAGCATCAGGCCACTCTGCATTGACCTAAATTGAACTTGGTGAGCAGTAGGTCGGAAAGTAGGCTCTGTATAGAAGTAGCCAGAAAACAATGTTGAAAATAAGGTCTTGACCTGTGCGCAGGCACATTAAGAGCATCCACAACTAATGGGCAATACCTATATGTTGTGGCGTCTGCCACACGCGTCGCATTTCAGAAGTGCCTTTTGAGCACCACATGCACCACCCTCCACTTCTCGTCCACTGAGAAGGACATTTGTTGCTGTTTTTGTTATTGTTGTTTTTCATTGGTTTGGGTTGTGTGTATGTGTTGAGTGTGTTGTGTTTGGTTGTGGGTTTGGCTGGAGAGGCTTGTGTGTCTGCCATAGCGTGAAGACATATGGCTAGAAGTGACCTGCCCTGGCTGTTTTTCATGTGCCTTTTCTGCTAGTGTAAATAAAAGAGCACTTCTTATGGCAGACATAATGGGCTCTTCTGCGTCTCTTTCTACACTGATGCCACATAATTCACTAAAATGACTCTTTCTGACTTGTTCATCAGTGTTCCTGGAGTGTGTGAACCATAGCAGTATCAAACTAACTTATTCTGCACAATACAGCTTAAAATCATACACAACCACTGATTACCCTGGTAGAAAAACACCATAGACTGGCTTATTTGGTCACCAGCAAAACTGGCGTATGTTGTGTTTTGGATGCTGGCATGCTGGTCACTCAGCATAGTTGTACCCTGTAGTTCAGACTGTTGCTTGTTCCTACACTGAATCAGTCTATTATGGCCAGTGAACAAAACTGTGTAAAGATGAACAGTCTGCAGTTGTGTTTTAAAATCATTGTTTTTTTTTTTTTTAACAGCGACTCGTTATTGTGTAGGTCACCGCACTGTCTAACTAAGCAAGATATCAGAGAACATCGAATCTGCGAAGCTGAATCGGTTCAGCCGGTTCACTCAAAAGATTCGTTCAAAAAGAAAGACTCGTTCGTGAACGACGCACCGCTCGAGCATCCACTGTGCTGCTCACCGCCTGAGGAGGAATGAAACAGAGCTGCTCCAAAGTCTGTCCAGATGTGGTTATCAGTTAATAGTTCTGTAGACTCGTTTCGGACTTTGTATGTGGAAAAACTCTGACTTGAATCGTCACTCAGAGACAAACTGTGCGCCCAAATGAGACAAAAGTTTTTTATTGATTAAACTGGTCTTTTATGGAGCAATACTCTGTGTTTCCTCACACGAAGGACGTCTGGCGAGTTGGGCGTTTGTTTCCTCCTCCTGAACAGCTGAGAGTCTCTCAGTGAGCCTGTGAGTGACGTGTGGCCGTTAGTCGTGTGAGTGTGCCTGTGCCTCTGAGTCACTGCGGAGCGGAGCGGTGATGTTCGTGTGGAGACGGGCAGCCCTCACTGCGGGACCCTGAGCACCAGGACTAGCAGCTGAACTCCGAGCGGCATCGCTCGTGTACGTGGGGCTAAAGCCCCCAACGCCTCGCTCTCTTCGGCGCAGATGTGACGGACACAGACTAATGCGAAGCTGGGAAAATTATTCGGTCGACAGACGAAGCAGACTTTTTCGAGCACGGTTGGAAACGGAGTGACTTCAGCACCTTTGATGACTTCAGTTCGCACACCTGTGAAGGTAAGTCGGGACTTTGGAACCAGGACAGATTATGGACATCTAGATAAAGCTGAGGAAACCTTTCATACAGTCATATCAATGGGCTGCTGCAGGCTGTATACGCGTGTTGTTGTGGTGCCCAAGTCAGAGTCCTTTTTGTCTTAGAAATGTCACAGTTAAAGCTGCTGAATAGCGACGACGATACCGGAGAACAGTTCCAGTAACTGTAAGAACAAATGCGTTTTCTCCATTCATAACACATAAGCTGCGAATCAGCAGCGTGTGGAGGTAAAAGTCTCTTTGTGTGCACAGTCAGTGAAGTTTATCATGGCATTGTGTGTCCTGTCATCAAACAGACTGTTCATTTTACTCACTTTACTGACTATTTCATGGTCTCACAAACTAGAAAGCTCTATTTTATGAGATATATTGAGCTGCATGTTATTGGTTTCTGTTATGGCACACGAAAGTCTCAAAATCTAAAAGGGATTAGTGTGGATTCAGGTATTATGGGACATCAGACAATATAAGATATGCATGTCAACACACTCTGAATGATAAAGCCATTCTTTTATTCATCTTCCCACCATAAATTACTTTTTTAATTGAATTAGCCAGTTTACAGTGTCTCCATTTACTCAGGAAGAACACTAATGAGCATCAGCTGAAATTGGAGTAAACCAGAGTTTCTTAAAGTGTCCTCTATCACCTGATGGCCCCTAATAACTGAATCCCCTCTATATGCGTGCAATCTCCAGTCTGTGGCCCGGCGCATTCTTCTCGGTGTGATTTATTACCCCGCTCTTAGCTCACAGTGCTGTAAGACATTTCACTGTGGAGTTGGGGAGGGTTGGGGAAAGCTCTCAGCATCAGATGTTCTGTTAGATACATGGAAAGCGTGTGCTTAGTACTGGTTTTCTGTACGGCTTCTCAGAGCCCCCCTCCTTTTTCTTGCTCAACCAACATTATTTTCTTTAGCAACTGGAATGCCGAGTATTCAGGGTGGACAAATAAAACATGGCAATGAGTCCCGTCTGGTCTCCATTCAGTCGCTCATTACTCCAGCCTGGAGTACGTCGTGTTATTAGCTGTCATGCCAGGGATGTCAATCATTACAACCTGAGCAAGAGTCTGCATCTGCAAACACAATAGGCCTGTGATTTAAACCATGCCTCGTACCATTGAGATGAGAGGTTCTGAGTGAATATGGAGCAGTTAAGCTGAATGGGTCATTTGTCAAAAGACTTTATCCATATTCCTCTTATAATTTAGCTCATAGTTGGTGTGTACGCACTTGCACTATAGCTTAGCTACACATGGTGTGTGTTGACATATGTGGCAGGCCTGCCAAGTGCTATTTGCTGGAAGAGCGGCCAGCTCCTGTTTATTTTCTGTGTAAACATGCAGTGGACCTGCTGGACACATGCATGTAGACCTTGGCTAAAACATGACAGTGCCGGATTCTGGTCCAGCGTTCACGCTAATATCTCTGTCATAGCAAAACAGTGCGCCTGATCTCTGCAAACATGGAATTATTCCCACCTAAAAGCGTTTTCTTTCTTTTTCCCAGCTACATGATTATTTTGAACATTGTTGCATATCACAGAGAAAAAAATATCTGTCTTGAATATCAGCCTCAGGGGTTTTTCTGGGGAAAGGGCATTGTTTAGTTACTCAGAGCCTATCACAGAGAAGAATGGGGCTCGGAATTGGTCATGCAATCTGAACTGAGAGACAGGAAGTTAGACCAACCCTCCCTCTGAGTGTTTGGAGTGTTGAATGTGAAGCTTACATGCTAAGCTCTGTTTGCTTTGAAAACCGGCATCCCTCTCACCCCTGCAGTAGGGAAAGTGGTGACCTGCTTCTTACTTTTTCTCCGTTTTCAGAGAGCGACCCCGTCTCCTGAGCATGCATAGGGAATAACCCTAATCCCCATTTCCTTTGCTGAACCCTAGCTAAAGGAATGCGTCCTGATGAGCTTCCCAGTTGCCTGCACAGGCTCTGTCAGCATGAACCTAGACTGTAATGCGTCTACAGAGCATCCTATATTACTTTTATCTGGGGGGTAATGATCTGTTCTACAATGTAGAATAATTTGTGGTGCTGAGGAGACTCTTTACAGCCCGAGAGTGTGTACACTGCATAGAGTGACTTGTATTTGCTCTATTTAAGGGTTTGCTTAACAACAATGTGTTGTTTCCAAACTAATGGCTCTTATTTGACAAGCAATGCTAGCAAATTCTGACAAGAATTGACCCATCTGTGCTTTATCTACAGCTACATTCTTTCATAGCAACTGCTGTAAAGTTGGGCAAACTTCACATAACATTGGCAAAAATACCATTCGACCTAATGAACTTGGATTGGAGTTCACCATTTAAAATTCTAGACTACCAAGCTATGTTGCTGTAGCTAATTGATGCTACACAGACTGAAAATGACAATGAATTTGCCACCATGATAACACTAGCTTGATTACATGATATAAAAATGCATGTGATATATCCTAACCATGTGATCTTTCACACACATACAAAATATAATTTGAAATTAATTATGCACTTAGAGTTGGGTGCAGTTTCTCAGTAGGTTTAATGGGACTTTTACCAACATCCTGGAAAGCTTGTCCAACCTAGCAACAGTTGCTATTAAAGAATGTATTTGTGGGTGGAGCATGAATAAGTCAATTGGAGCAGGAATCTTATGAAACTATTTTAGAGAAAGTTAAAAAAAGGTTACAGATATTGGCAAATTACAGTAATTTAACAGTTGCAGACCATTTATTAAACTTGTTGCAACTTAAGTATAAAAGCCCAACACGATGCACCACAGAAAAGGCTTAATTTTGTGAATACATTCACAATGCCTTTATTCATGCTTCTGTCTCTGTACATATAGTTTTGCAATGCCCCATAAACTAGAGTAACACAATATTCCCCGAGTACAGCTCCAGATGAAAACAAATAGATCAATGATGTGTGTATCTGGCCGATGTCCAGGTCAGTATATAAATGAAGCACAGCCTCAGACGGACTGTTTCCTCCTGACTTTGACCTCTCCGAGGCCTCTTGCTTCAACCTCAGCTCAGACCTCTAGCAGTCAGAACCTGCCTTTTATGCCCGTCTCCCTCGTGCAGCGGCATTTCCGACCCCATAATACACAGGCAGCCTGTGGAAGAGAGAGAAGTTGGCTTCAGTTAAAAGGGTGGGCTGGTTTGGAAGCATGGACTGGGGAGGGAGGGAGGGAGGGAGAGAGAGAGAGAGAGAGAGAGAGAGAGAGAGCCTTCATTTACTTTTGCAATTTCTTTCTTATTTGCATTGAGAATGAATTTACATCTTCCTTGAGCAGGAAAGAAAAAATCATATCCATTAAAATATGAACTAGCAACCTCATTATACTCATTCAGCAGTATTTGTTTTATGAAAAACCCAAAGCAACCACATACAGTCTCAAAAGGCCCATAATCTACATTGTGTTATATTTTATTTTTCTGAGTTTACGTACCAAAACAGTCATATGTCAGTTTTATATGACCATTTTCTAACCTTTTTTTATGCCTTACAGTTAAACAGGCTGTTTTTATTACAGTTCCTTTAGGACTAATATATGTAAATGAGCTCTGTTCTGATTGGCTGCCCTGTATTGTGCCTTGTTAAAAAAGTAGCCTGGGTTGAAAAACTTTCAATTCCACATGGATAGGTGGAGCTACACAGCTGTAGGCTGAAGAGGCAGGTATATGTAAAAGAATTGTTTTTTGTGACATCACAAAAAAGGGAATTCAAAACGGGCTGTTTTTGCAGTTTACCTTCCATATATGGACTGTACGGACTGGGGCGTGAACAGTTTTGCTGACATACCACACCAAACTCTCCTATATTAAAAAGTGAGGGAAATTTAATGTAATGATACATGCCTTTTAAAAATAAGGACTAATTATGCTCTTTTTAATCATACATGCAGTTGGGAAGTTTTGCAAGCATGATAATTTAAACAAGAAAATTATAAATATTGTCATGTTGCCCAGCTCTAATCCTAATGTTATGTGGAGGTTGCTTAAAGTACTAAAAAGGTTCTATACACTCAAACATCTCATTTACAAAAATGGTGCTCTAAGGAACCATCCATTGAAAGGTTCCTTTCTGGCAGCTTTAGTTTTAAGAGTGCAATACTGGAATTCAGCATAGAAGGAGAGATAGCAAGTTTATGACTGCATTGAGCCAATAACAGTGTAAATGAACAGACTAAAACTGTGGTATTTAATAGAATTAATGGAAACCTGTGTTTTGAGTAAATCCAGTTTTGAGTCTCTGACCAAAAGATTTTCTCTGAGTGTTGTGCTGGTCAGCAGGGTGTGCAGCAGTTACGCTGCGACTAAGTTTGTATGTCTGAGTGCAGGTGTGCGTGTCTGCTGACTCAAAAACAACACTGTCTCACGAATCGGTAGCATCTTCCATGAGTCATCTGTCCCGTCGCCTTCCCCATTCGTTTTGACGCATGCACACTAGAACTTGTCAGATCACTAACTGCATGCTGTCATACTCTGATGTGTCACTGTAAAAGTCCCAGACATCTTATCCTTCCAGCAACTCTAGTTGTGTCTGGTTTTCACCTCTCTCTGAATCATTTTTAATTGAGCCACTTCCTACTACCTACCTTAATTTCCTTTTATCTTTTGTCTGTGGCCTTCATTCATAGGCTGTATTGACTATGGTGTTTTTTTTATATTAACTAATTTTTTCCTCCATTCTCAGTCCTCATTCACCACTGCTTTTCAGGGCCAGTCATATAAACAGCCGCTTAGGACCCCCGAGCCAGCAGGGGGCCTTGTCTATATGTGGTCATTTCTTTTTTTGCTGCATTTTCAGTGCAGAAATTTAATCATGTAGCTGTTTGCATGAAAGTGTTTTTTTTTTATTCAAGATTTAACATCAGCATTGTTGAAACCGATTTCTTATAAGAAAGTCTGTCTGCTCAGATGCGTTCTTGGCACCGCCTCCCTGAGCAGTTTTTTCCAGTCATGC